CCCCAAAACCCCAAAACCCCAAAACCCCAAAACCCCTTATAATAGTATTAATATTGCAAAATAATAAAATATGTTTGGACCAGAAGAGCCTAGTTGTGAGTTAGAAACAATACAAAAACTCGGTGATCAGGCATGCCAATTTGTGCAACAATACTGTGAACATGAGTCACTTTTCAATTTCTTCTCTGTGCATTATTGCCAGTTTGGAGGAGCAAGCTATATCACTATTCCGATCTACCTTTTTATCATCTTCTTGTGATTCTACATTGTTGGGACAACCGCAGAAGGGTTTCTTTCACCTGCACTTGAAAAAGTAGCTTCTACTTTAGGAATGTCAGAATCCTTAGCTGGTGTAACCCTACTCGCTATGGGCAATGGAGCACCTGATGTGCTGACTTCTGTGTCAGCAGCAGGTAGTGAACATACGGGAATGTTCTTTTCTGTCGGTTCACTTGCAGGCTCCGGCTTATTTGTCACAGGTGTCGTGACTGCATTTGTGATAATTTTCTCCCCACGTACTATAAAAGTGCCTGGCTTGAGTATATTGCGAGACGTATGATTCTACATGACTGCTCTCATCACTGTAGTGATAGGATCTATTGTAGGGGAACTCAACATTTATTTCGCAATAGCATTTTTCTGAATATATCTTTCCTATGTCATGGTGGTCGTCATTATGGATAGGCATGAAAGAAAGGAAAAGAAAAGGAAACAAGCTGAGAGAGGAGATGATGCTAAACTTAAGAAAGTAGTCTCTCTGAACCAGGAAGACTCCTTAGAAGAATTGGACTCTGAAAAATCAGATGAAGAGGATAAAACCTATTTTTATGATAAATCGGTATCTCAAAATGTGAATGAGCTAGGTCAGCAGTTGATAGATAAAGAAAGCGAGGATAAACGAGCCATTACTCAGGATTCGTCAGGTGGCCAAGAACAAAATAATGGGTCTGGAAACGAATGGTCAATGGTGCTTGAAGAGCCAAATCTCTCACAAGATGAAGAACACCAGAATCAACCACAAGGGGATCATATCGGTAAGCCTTAGGAATTAATACGATTTTAGAGAGAAAACAAAATAGACACCATAAACTCACAAACAGAAGTTTTGTTAGGAGAATGAATCTCAAAGATGAAAAAGAGCGTCCTTTAGTACTATCTCCGAAACTGAGAGCAAAAAAGATCCTAGAAGAAGCAAGCGAAAGTGAAAATAATGTAAGCGATATGAATATTTTCCAAAAGGTGATATACTTTGTCCTGAAAACCCCACTCAACTTCTTGAGGAGGATAACGATCCCTCCTTCTGATGCTAACTCATGGGACAAAAGGTATGCTACAGTCGTACCTATCTGTTCATGTTTCTTCATTTTCACAGTCACAGGATTGATCGATTTCAAAAGCGTACCCCATTTCTCATTTTGGATTTGTCTTGGAGTGGCAGCAGCCCTATCTATCATTATCTGGCTGACAACTCCATCCAAAGAAGAGCCAAAGAAGGTAATTTTGGTATTTGCAGTCATCGCATTTTTACTATCAATTCTTTGGATGTGGTCTGCAGTAAATATCTTAGTCGATTTATTAGGAGTGCTTGGACTTATTCTTGGGTTCAATCCAGCCTTTCTGGGTATGACTCTCCTAGCATGGGGAAACTCTTTTGGTGAAGTCATGGCTAACTCTACATTTGCAAAGAGAGGACTAGGAAGAATGGCATTCACAGCTTGATTTGCAGCTCCCTTGTTCGATTTCCTTATCGGTCTTGGCCTTAGTTTGACGATAAAGAAAATAAGAGGTATCCCACCAGCTAGATTTGTAATCACAGATACTGAGGCTCATATTCCACTAATGGCAATTGGAGGCTTAATGCTTCAGTTTGTCATGATCCTGATCATGTCAACTATCAATAAATTCTCTCTAAGGAGGTGGCAAGGGATTGTACAAATTGGATACTTCTTAATACTGCTGATCATCGTAACAGTCGCAGCATTCACCTTCGCCTAATAAATTACTCATTTGTATATATTTACCCTCAATTCGTTCACAAAAGAAAGGGGTTTTGGGGTTTTGGGGTTTTGGGGTTTTAGAAAAGAGAGGTATTGGAGA